TTTTTGAGGCAGAGTCTTGCTCTGTCACCCAGGTTACAGTGCAATGGTGCAATCTCGGCTCATTGCAACCTCTGCCTCCAGGGTTCAAACCATTCTCCTGCCTCAGCTTCCCAAGTAGCAGGGATTACGAGTGCCCATGACCACGCCAGGATAATTTTTGTATTATTATTATTTTTGAGAAGGAGTCTCACTCTGTCACCCAGGCTGGAGTGCCCTGGCACGATCTTGGTTCACTGCAACCTCCGCCTCCCGGGTTCAGGCGATTCTCCTGCCTCAGCCTCTCAAGTAGCTGGGATTACAGGCACGTGCCACCACGCCTGGCTAATTTTTTGTATTTTTAGTAGAGACGGGGTGTCACCCTGTTAGCCAGGACAATCGATCTCCTGATCTCATGATCCGCCCACCTCACCCTCCCAAAGTGCTGGGATTATAGGCGTGAGCCATGGTGCTCAGCCGAAAAACCCACACTCTTAAGAGGGCGGTTCTGTTCAATTCAGCCCCACAGTTTCCTGGGCGTGGACAAAGCCATCACCTGTGCAGGTAGAGAAGCAAGCCCAGATGGTGGCTGAGCACCCTTGGGGATCCTGCGCATTGATCTGAAAGAGCCCCGCATAGAAGGCGGGTCCCTCAGGCCCTCCTGCACCTCTTTCCATCCCCACCAGGCATCCCGGAAAAGCGAGGAGGCCGCGGGCGTCTCTGGGCAGAACGCGCAGCGCATACTCACCGGGGCAGGCCAGTGGCGATGCAGAACAGGTCCATGATGTCGCTGGAGTTGCAGTACTTGCTGAAGATCACCTGCAAAACAGAAGCCGTCGTGAGGGGCAGCAGGGGCGCGGGTTTCTCTGGAGATGTCAGACGCCACGTGCTTGGCTCCAACCGGAAGGTTCGTTTTGCAAAGAAAAATTGTAACCCTCAGCATTGCAAAATGACAGGCACATCTTTTCATCTGGTTGATGTCTATGGGTGGTGAAAACGTCATTGTTTTTTTCAGTGGAAAGAGTTGTGAAAAACACAGCGACCACCCCCACCCCTTGGCCACATGCCTGTCGGGGGCCGTGGTTACACCAAGGCGCATCCCTTGGAAGGGGCCAGGCAGGACTGACCACTTGGGGCCAACACTCGCTCGGCACTGGGCCTTCAAGTATCCCATGGGGGCCATTTTGTAAATAAATTTCAAGTTCATTGACTTAGAAAAAAAAAAAAAAAAGACTGCCTTTCAGTTTTGGGGACTGAGGGACTGAGGCTGAAGAACGAAGTCAAAGAAGTAAATCACATGACAAGAGAACCACTGAGGATCTCAGGAGACCGCAGTGAAATTGGTGCCCGCAGAGAAACACGACCTACGTATGGGATGGGAGCACTCATGCCCGAGTGCCACCCGGGCAGCGGTGGGAATGCTGGGTTGGCATCTGCATCTTTTGTCCAGGGAGTCTGGGCCATGAGTCTCAGCTCTCAGGGAGAGCATTCCAGTTTGGTGAGGGTGGGGCTTCTCCAGGGCTGGATAGAGGCAGAACAGACCCACCGAGGCCCCACCTTCCCTGTGTGGGTGCCTCCCTGGACAGCTTCCCTGGCTGGGGCCTGCCAATGCAGCTTTCCTTTCCAGCACAATCCCTGGTATGGGGGAAACGCAGGCCTAGGGAGACAGTTATTTTTTGGTGCCCAGCGCACCAATTTTTTTTTTTAAAGCTAAGATTAGTTTTCTTTTTTCTTTACTTGGAAACAGTGAAATATAGAAAACAGATTTTTTTTTTCTGTGACTAACACCATTTCCTGTGGGCTGCTGAATGGCAACAATAAGGCAGTAAACAGGACCTCGTCTTGCCTGTTATCCCCGCTGGCATCTGCCCCAGGGTGATGGTGGGTCGGGGTGGCTTGTGGCATTGCGGGCATGGTCTATGACACCTCCTGTATCCCCAGCTGCCTACACAGCTGGCCTTGGCCAAGCTTGCAAGGGCCCGGGAGCCCCTCCCGCATCCCAGCTCTGGCCTCACCGTTCCCTGCATGTCTTCCTTTGCACAACTGCCGGCTCCTCCTGGAGACCCCTCCTCCGGGATGTGCTTCTCCTCCCATGTCCTGGTTCCCAGGCTTGAGTGCAGAGGCTGCTTCTCCCAACCCCATGGCGGAGGAGTCCTGCACTTGGCCGGGTGCCAGGCTCTCGCTTCTACCACGGCACCATCCTCAGCCCCAGTCACAGTCCACGCCACGGGTTATGACCGTGGAGTGTGGTCATTGTGGCACAGCAGGGCCTGGGCTGGGTTCCTGGCCATTTTCCCACCAAGACGGGACAGAAAGTAGTTCCCATACGGACCCGTGTGTAACCCACTTCCCTCTGGTGTGGCAGGCTTACTTTGGGGTCAGACCTCAGTCTGCAGAGGACAGGGGTGGAAGAGGAGGAAAGCAAGAAGGGCTCTTTCTTGGAACATTCTGGATCTGGTGCTTCTGGAGAAGCCAGAGGCGGTTTGCAAGGGGCCTGCTAAGGAGGTTGGTGTTCTTCAAAGCGTGCATCTGGCCCAGCCCAGGGATTCCCATGCAGTGGGTCTGGGTTGGGCGCCGGGAATCTGCGTGTAATTTCTACCGGGTTTCTTGGATTAGAAGCTACTGCTCAAAGATGTGTTTCTAGGGTGTCTCCCTCGATGAGGGGGAGGTCCTGCAGGAGGCGTGGGCCCTGTGGTCCCTGTGCTCCAACCTGGGTGGCCGCAGCAAATGATCCCTTTCTAAAGTCCTCCCCCAACCCCGCCCCACTGGGTGCGTTTCTTTGTGGGCAGGAAGGGCACCACAAACTGTCCCAGCCCCTCGGCGTCCACAGGGGATGATCTTGCGAGTTAAATTCTCTCAAGACACATTTGGCAAAACCATCTTGAAGCCTGGCTTCTTGGGCTGGCTTGAAGGGGCTGTACCCACCAGCAAGACCTCACAGGCGAGGGGAGGGTGAGTACGGAATCACAGTCTGTTGGGACTGGGAAGGCTCATCTGACTTTACTCAGAAGGGAAGTGGCTTTTCCAGGGGCACCGGCTCACAGGCCTGGGGCTTCCCCACCTCAGGAGTGTGAGGCCAGGTGGTCCCGGGGGATCCCTGACTGACTCTCACTCCTGGGACCCTCAGCTCAACTTCTTTGAACATAAATTTCCTCTGCTGTAAAATGGGCCAAAAAAGAGCTATCTGTCACCTATAGACACTTTGATGCCAGTGCTGCCCGAAGGTTCTGTACCGGAGCTTGCGATTCCACGCAGACGCTTTGAGCCCCATGGAAAAGGACTGCAGTCGGCACCTCCAGTGACTGACCCCCAAGCGCAGACTCCTGGGGACAGCTTCTGACGGCTTCGCTCAGATGATACTCAGACCCTGCCAGTGGGCTGTCCAGCAGAGCTCTTTCTAGCGGACAAATAGCTGGCTTCATGACGCTGTAACCCAGGACCCAGTGGAGAATCCGTTCTGGAGGACCGAGTGGAATGAGTGAGGAACACTTTCCTTTCTGGCATCGTGCATGTGGTTGCAGTGTTGGACTTTCTGGCTCTGTAGGGAAGTCCTTTCCCTGTCTTCTTAAGCCATCAGCAACCTTTAATGACCTAGATTTTTTGCAAACTGAAATGAATAATTTTTTTTTTGTTTTGAGGCAGACTCTCGATCTGTTGCCCAGGTTGGAGTGCGGTGGTGTGATCTCGGCTCACTGCAACCTCCACCTCAGGGGTTCAAACAATTCTCCTGCCTCAGCCTCCCAAGTAGATGGGATTACAGGCACCCGCCACCATGCCTAGCCAGTTTTTTGTATTTTTAGTTGAGATGGGGTTTCACCATGTTGGCCAGGCTGGTTTCAAACTCCTGACCCTAAGTGATCCTCCTGCCTCAGCCTTCCAAAGTGCTAGAATTATAGGCGTGAGTGAAATGAATAATTTTTAAGTGATACCTGATTTTTACCGTCTGCTCTCCCTCCTCTCCAAATTCACTTTTATGAAAGCTTTACTTTTTGTGTCAATACAGTTACCTCCAAAGGTTCTATAAGGATCTGTCCTCCTTCCTGCCAGGATATAACTGGGGAAGGTTTATGCGGCCAAGGCTGAGTCTCAGAGACCTGCATGAGAATGAGGCTCCTTTGCTGGGCTGTGACTGCTTGGAAGGGGCCAAGGGTGACTGTGCAGTGTCCACGCTCACAGAGTCTCCTGGGGGAGTGGAGGGACTCTCAGGGGTGTCGCCTCGAAGACGGGAAAAAAGGCTCTACTCTGACAGGCCAGGGTTTTGCAATATCACAGGGGCCTTGTGAAGGGAGGGGTTCATCAAACATGTAAGTCCTGCAGGTGAAATCTGAAGCAGATTTTTGTGCTTGGCTTCCTAGCCTCAGGATAGCAAATAACAGAGGCGTTTAAAGTATAACTATGAGGTCTTCCAGCAAAACAAACTGAGAAGGACCCATATGGCATGGTGGCACTCTTGCCAACCCTCTGCAAACAAGCAAGCCAGCCACACCCGGGGGACCAGCCTTATTCTGCCATCCAGAATAATCTCCCTTTGCGATTATGTTGGACAAAAGGTGGGGAGGCTGTCAGGAAATGTGACTCCTGGAACAAGCACACAAGTTGACACGGGCCGTCTCCAGTGGAGAATGGGTTTGGAAGTCCATTTCAAGTCCTTCACTCCTTATCCCCGCAGGTTCCTGGATTTCTCTTTTGAACTAGTGGTGCCTTCTTGCCAGTTCCCATTCAGTTCATCAGTTCAGTAGAAATGGGTGACACAGTCATCTGGCTTTTGTTGTGAATTAGCCTCCAGCGGCGCCAAAGCGGACAAGAGTCTGGGCATGAGGCGACGTGTGAGCCCGAGGGACGTGGGCTGGGACAGCCGTGTTCTTGGCCAGTGTCAGGAGACGCACCAGCCTGATGCTGCTCCTGACTGTGCAAGGCCAGCCCGGCTGCCACTTCAGACCCCGGGAGGACTTCCAGGCTGCCTTGTCAGGAGGCCGTAGGGCTTTCTGTCCACTTGCCGAATAATTTCGCAAATCCTTTATTCAGAAACAAATAGCGCAAACAAAGTTGATAAAATGAAATTTGAAAATGAGATGCAGAAGCAGCAGGATTAAGGGAAAAATGAAGGTTTTAGGTTGGCTTCCGGCTCGCAGGCACATCAGGGCTGGAGTTCATGAGTGCGCACACGGCAAGTCCCCACAAACCCTTTCGAATGTGGTTTGATTGGCAGTGCTGTGACATTAAAGCAAGACAAGGGAAACAAATGGGGACACAGAGGGCGGCTCCCCTGCCGGAAACTGCTGCCTCTTCATACTCAGCTGAGACCTGGGAACGTCACAGGAACTTCACTGTCGGGGAGTCCTCATGCTGCCTTCGTTAGAGAGGGCTGACACTGACCAGGTGGCAACCACACGCAAGCGCTCATCTCAGATGTTTACACACGGAAACTGAGGCACACAGAGGTGCCTGTGGCTCCCATGCACCCAGCCAGAAGTGCACATCAGGACTGCACCTGGGGCCGCCGGCTCCGGACCACACATGCTTGACCACAACATACACTGACTTCCAGGTTCTTTAATGTCTATATCCAAACGTGCCTCCTTCTAGACACTCTGCAACAGAAGGAGCTGTGGATTGGAGAACAGGAAGCCCTGTGGTTAACCAGTTACTTTTTTTTTTTGAGATTGAATCTTGCTCTATTGCCCAGGATGGAGTGCAGTGGTTGGCTGCAGATCTTGGCTCACTGCAACCTCTGCCTCCCAGGTTCAAGCGATTCTCCTGCCCCAGCCTCTTAAATAGCTGGGACTAGAGGCATGTGCCACCACACCCAGCTAATTTTT